TTACCACCCCCAACTGCTCCCCCTTTAGCTGCAGAAAGAGCAGTTGGGGGTATACACATGCTGTTGCCACAGCTGGAAGTATACCTCCAGGTGAATGGAGTTGAACTGCAACCACCCTGTAACTGTGTGCGCATTGCACACAGTTGTGGTGTGGTGATTGATGCTGGGGTTAAATCAGGTGGTGAGGAGGCAACATATGGCCTCTTTACCACCTGTCAAATGCCTTTGAAAAGCGATCTGAGCATGGATGCTTGCTGCTATTTTAAACAAGTCCTAAAAAATCAGTTCCAATAGGACAGGAAGAGGAGGTCGAGATTAAAAGTAAAAAATACATATACACACATATTAAAACAAAACACATGTACACACAATGTATACAGCATTATGAAAAGTTACAGTACCTTAGCTTCCATCACACAGCTGGGTACTGCACTCTAGGGGGAAGCAGAGAGCACAGAAGACACTCCCCTTCCCTTTGCTTTCACTTTGCTCAGCGGTCTGACGACTCCCAGTGCCGACATACAGTGTGGCTGGGGATCGGGAACTCGGGCTCAAGTGACAGCCATTCTCCCCACGGCACCCCTGAAGACCTCTGGCGGCACCCCGGTTGAGAAAGGCTTGTCTAAGAAACAGGAAGCTGTGGGCATTTCATCACTTCGGTTTTGCCGAATTTAAACCGTGGCATTTTTAAATTGGGAAAGCATCTGACAACACCAATCTTGGTGAGATCAGATGATTTAAGGGCAGCGGAGGTATCTAGAGTCTAATCAAACCCCAGATTTCTCAGAAAAGAGCACCTGTCACTGCCTATTGCTATCACAGTGGATATTTACATGCACTGTGATAACAATAAAAGCTATCCAAAAAAAAAGAAGAACAGTATAAAAAAAAAAAAAAAAAAAATAAAAATCTAAATAAATAGAAAAAAAAAAAAAATTAAAGCACTCTTGTCTCCCCGGGCAACGGCGTATAGAAGCGTCGGCCCAGCGTTGGTATGTAAACAGCAGTTGCATCATGCATGTGAGGTATCACCGCGAACATCAGATCAAGGGAAGTAACTCTAGCACTAGACCTCCTGTGTACATCTAAAGTGGTAGCCTGTAAAGGCTTTTAAAGCGTTGCCTTTGGATATTAAAAATGTATGTAGTTTCTCGCCGTTGCTCGAGACGTACGCAGTTTTAAAGCATGTCATGTTTGGTATTTATGTACTCCTTATGAAATCATCTTTTATATTCTACCAAACAATTGGCCAATCTAGTGTTTTTTTGAGCATTAAGTGAATTTTTTTTTTTTAAATTGCGTTTGAAAAATTGCTGCACAAGTACTGTGACACACAAAAAAAATGCGACACCCACTATTTTATTCTCTGCGGCGTCTGTTTTTGAAAAAATTTAATGTTTGGGGGTTCAAACTAATTTTCTAGCAAAAAATGCTGATTTTTTTATGTGAACAAGAGGTGTCAGACAAAGGTTTGGTCCTCAAATGGTTAGAAGAGTTTGTGATGTGTGGTATAAGCTTCTAATGCTGGGCATAAAATGCCAAGATAACACAACACCCCCCCCCACCCCAATTACATGTTGAGTGAATAGAAGTTTTTAGAAAATTATAAAAAAAATTAAATAATATGATATATATTACTCACACATGCCATTACTCCACTTCTCCAGAGTATGGGGATACCACATGTGAGAGACTATTTGGCAGTCTAGCAGCATACAGGACCCCAAAATCCAATAAGCACCTTCAGGCTTTTAAAGGGCTTTATTTCCTCAGTACACTTCCTGAGTACCTGTCACGGTCTTCAGAGGCCCTGCAAAGCTAACCCCCCCCCCCCCCATACTCACCATGCCTCTTAAATTCCTTGGGGTGTCTACTTTCCAAAAAGGGGTCATTTGGGGGGTTTTGTGCTATACTGGCATTTCAGGGCCTCCGAAAAACTGATAGGTAGTGATGAAGTGAGATGAGGAATTTACGCACCTTCAGGCTTTGAAAGTGATCACTGGATTTTGGGCTCCTGTATGTGGCTAGCCTCCCAAAAAGTCTCACATATGTGGTATCCCTGTACTCAGGAGAAGTAGCAGAAATTGCACTGCTCAAAAAAAAAACAAAAAACAAAAAAAACCTAAACATCAGGCGTGCTCCTAATGAGACGACTGATAAACCTGGGCATCACTAAGCTCCTGAATAGTCTGAGGTGCAACCTGGCAGAGTCAGATGGACCGAAACATGATATCCCAGAGGTGTTCTATTGGATTTAGGTCAGTCAAGCGTGGGGGCCATTCAATGGTACCAATTCCTTCATCCTCCATGAACTGCCTGCATACTCTTGCCACATGATGCCGGGCATTGTTGTGCACCAGAAGGAACCCAGGACCGACTGCACCAGTGTAGGGTCTGACAATGGGTCCAAGAATTTCATCCCGATACCTAATGGCAGTCAGGGTGCCATTGTCTAGCCTGTAGAGGTCTGTGCATCCCTCCATGGATATACCTCCCCCAGACCATCACTGACAAACCACCGAAACGGTCATACTGAACGACAGCATAATCTTTTCCACAACTTCTACGGACTCTTTCACGTCTGTCACGTGCTCAAGGTGAACCTGCTTTCATCTGTGAAAAGCACAGGGTGCAAATGGCGGACCTGCCAATTCTGGTGTTCGATGGCAAATGCTATTCGAGCTCTATGGTTCCCAGGCAGTGAGCACAGGGCCCACTAGAGGACATCGGGCCCGCAGGCCACCCTCATAAAGTCTGTTTCTGACTGTTTGGCCAGAGACATTCACACTATTGGCCTGCTGGAGGTCATTTTGTAGGGCTCTGGCAGTGCTCATCTTGTTCCTCCTTGCACAAAGGAGAAGATATCAGTCCTGCTGATGGGTAAAGGATCTTCTATGACCCTGTCCAACTCTCCTAGAGTAGCTGCCTGTCTCCTGGAATCTCCTCCATACTCTTGAGACTGTGCTGGGAGACACAGCAAACCTTCTGGCAATGGCACGTATTGATGTGCCATCCTGGAGGAGTTGGACTGCCTGTGCAACCTCTGTAGGGTCCAGGTATCGCCTCATGATACCAGTAGTGACACTGACCCTAGTCAAATGCAAAACTAGTGAAAAACAGTCAGAAAAGAGGAGTAGCGAAAAAAAGGTCAGTGGCCTCCACCTGTAAAACCATTCCTGTTTCGGGGGTTGTCTCATTGTTGCCCATCTAGTGCACCTGTTAATTTCATTAACACCAAAGCAGCTGAAACTGATTAACAATCCCCTCTGCTACTTAACTGACCAGATCAATATCCCAGGAGTTTAATTGACTTTATGCTATATTCTGATTAAAAAGTAGAGCTTTATTTTTTTGGAGTAGGGTGTTTCGGGGTGTAATTCCAAATATATACATGGCATGTGTGAGCAATATACCATTTAAATTACAACTTAGTGTGAAAAAAAAATAAATAAATAAATAAATCTTCCATGGACTCAACATGCCTCTCAGCAGATAGCTTAAGGTGTCTACTTTCCGAAAAGGGGTCATTTGGGGGTGTTTGTACTGCCCTGGCATTTTAGCACCTCAAGAAATGTGATAGACAGTCAAAAGTAAAAACTGCATAAATTCCAGTATCTAGACCAAAAGGCTCCAAACTTCCTAAAAAAAAAAAAAAAACGGCCAGCTTGCTGTCCTTCAGACCTAATTTTGGGCTGGACTTCCGTGGAACAAACAATGCCACATCTTTGCTATCACAGGGAGGAATAGCGCCCCATCGTTACTGTCATTGGGCCCCATTGTTGTGTCACTGGCAGGAATTGTGACCCGTCATTGGGAGTTATTCTGCCCCTTTAATGGTGCCAGTGGGGGGAATTATGCCTCATTGTTGGTATCGGAGAAAAAAAGTGCCCCAAAGGGCCGATAAAAGTAGGCAAAGGGCCACAACTGGCCCCCAGGTTGCAGTTTGGAGACCACTGATCTACACCATAGTTTGTAGACGCTATAACTTTCACACAAACCAATTAATATAAAACTTATTGGTATTTTCTTTTTTTTTTTTTACCAAAGACATGTAGCAAAATACATTTTGGCCTAAATTTATGATGAAATTCGAGTTTATTGGATACTTTTTTCTAGAACAGAAATTAGAAAATATCTTTTTTTTCAAAATTTTCGGTCTTTGTTTATAGCGCAAAAAAAGCATTGGTGATCAAATAGCAAAAGGAAGCTCTATTTGATTGAAAATAGGACTTAAATCTCATTTGGGTACAACACTGCATGACCATGCAATTACCAGTTGAAATAGCGCAGAACCGAATAGCAAAAAATGGCCTGGTCAGGAGGGGGGGGGGGGGGGTAAAGTGGTTAAAAGACTGGAGATGCACCTGGAATTCAGACACTGGCTGTTCTTTGTTAGTTGTCTTATGTTGACAAACTCATCAACTACCAAGGTACCTAATAACACATTTTTGACACATACTGCTAAAGAGCAAGTGACCTTCTACAAGCTGATTTTGTTTGTTTGTTTTTTTTTTTCCATAATCTCCACTCTTTTCAGTTAGGATGACACTATATGCAGCCCTTCATACTACTCATCAAGTGCTGACTTCCAAAAACAGTCACTGTCTCTAAGCAGATTTCCACTCGTGAGCTGTATTCATGGCAGCCTCCAACCATGCAGTGGAGAATGGCTCATCCAAAGAGATGAACGCAGCAAAGGCATAAAACCCAGGACCCGACAAGAACCTTTTCTTGGCAAAGACTGTGCACCACCAGGAAAGACCACACAGCGAAGATCATAGGAGCAGGTAGATAGCTACAGTTTTTTTTATCACACAGACTACAGTATGGGTAAGGCATCTTACTTAAAAGGACAATTTTACTAAAAATAAAGTTGTCAACTATTTTTTTTTTTTTCCACTATTTTATACACACTCTATGTGTAAACAGTAACATTTCTGCAGCTGTGGCTTTGTTGTGTAAATTATGCAAAAAAACTATAAGAATTAAGAGCAACTTACTCCAGGTTCTACTTGGTTTCGGTCTGCAATATCAATATGGACCACTTCAACAGTTTTCCACACATTGGGATCTAGACCATGTACCTGAAAAATAGTTCCACGTTACACATTAAAAGTATTGCTAAATCTTTAAAGAACAAACTCCAAACATCCTGGCCACCCCTTTGAACCCTCTGCACATAGCAGTTATGCTGCTGGTGTGTACATTGTACACTGCAATACACAGCCCCAGAGTTATTACCCATCAGAATGCTTGGGTTGGAAAGCACTTATTGGTCATTGTGGCTGTACTAAGCGATGAGAAGCACATCTGAGGATTTTCCTTCCAGTGAGGCGCCCCAGAAGAAAGAAGTGCTTGTCATTGGGAGTATTATGATGGATACTCACTCCAGGGCTGTGTATTGCAGTGTATGAACTACTACACTGACAGAACAGGAAACCGCACCTGCTATGTGCAGTGGGGTATGGAGGGGTGACAAGTATATTAAGAGTTAGTTCCTTTTTTGCGAAAAGTTAATAAGTTCACTTTTGGGAACATGTTACATGCTCAACCCATTTTTAGGGTGGAACATGTAACATGTTCCCACCACTGCCGGATTTCCCCCCCCCCCCCCCTTTCTTAACAGCAGTACTTGAAGTTCCCTGTATTAGTGGTCAGTTTTTTAAAACAGCGCAGCCATGTCCATGCCCACATTGCTGCATCATTAATTCACAGAGTTCTGTGAATGAACGAGAAATCCTGACAGTCTTTGCAACTGTCAGCTTGTAGTTCACTGAGATTGTCAGACTGTTTCTGCTTGCCGTACGGGATGTATGAGCACACAGATACACGAACAGTTTGCACGAGTCTTGGTGCAATGCTTTCCAGGCTCCAAAAAAATGTAATAAAATATAATAATAATATTATAGTAAATGCAATTTTTTTTACCTGAAAACAAAGGGCATTTATATTAATCTGAACTTACCTTTTAAATAATTATTTCTCTAAAAATGGATTCAAAAGTACCATACAGGCCATTAAAATACACATTTTCTATAGAAAAAGGCTATGATATACTCTATTGTCTGATGTAATGTAGTACCCCAGAAACTACATTATGGAAACTGTTAACATGGGATGATGCTTCTTAATTCTTCCCATGCCCAATCATGCACTTTTTGGTGGACTCAAAAAACTAGCTATTTTGTGAAGGTGAAAAAAAAAACAATTTGCATTTGATTTCCAAAGACAGAAGGTGAGAGCATCAACTGTTTCCTAGGTAAGTAAAGCCAAGTAGAACACGTAGTCCAGGGTCATCAAAATCTACTTTAACTAGCGGAAAATTAGGAGTACACTTTTTGACAGAAAAAATAAACAGGAAATATTTAAATTTACAAAATCCTCCTAAAAAAAAAAAAATCTATTGGATGTGTATGAAACAACTTCAAAATGACCGACAGAAAACCGGAATAAGATCAAGCAACTTACATTTTCTTGTGTCCCCATGTCTGGTTTGTGCCAAGTTTCAATTTTAATGAAGAAGTCTTCTTTCATATATTCATTCTAGAAAAATAAAACACTTTAATTGACTGGAACTACATTTACCTGCGCAACTAACAAAATATACCTTTCCAACACACATACAGACTTCACTGTGGAGTCAATGTAAGCAGGAGAGTGAAATATGTCAAAGATTGCCAAACAGGGACTCTTTCAAGTACAATGACATTTAATTCCTTGAAAGAAATTTTATTTGTATCAACAGACTGTGAACAACCATCCAACAAAATTATGCTATTTTATTTAACATCCATTGAAAATACTTGACAAAACAATAACAAAAATGTTTCTAACATTTGAGGTATTCTTGGGAGTGATGCCAAGTCACATCACTTCAAAAATGTATAAATCCTAATAAACCAATCACAATTATCAGTTAGTCAGGTTAGTTGGATAGAAATATACAATGGAGACAAGAACGTTTGTCCATACAAAGATCTACCTTGACTTCTCTTTAAAACATAAAAAATAATTGTATAAAAAGTTATAAAAAATGTTCACTACACATTTTCAATTAGGCAACAGTTTTTTTTTTTTTTTAAATATAGATTTCAGGTATTAAAATTCAAACATACACACCCACGTCAACACAAAAAAAAAAAAAAAATGATTGATATGTAACTCACCGTTACAACTGTTCAGTTGGAACATACATGAGAGAAAAAAAAAAAAAAAAAAAGAAAAAAATATTTATTTCAAGCCATAATGGGTAAAGTTTCAGTGTAAACAAGCAATATTTCAATAATCAGATTTATGGCTCTATTTCAGCTACAATATTTATGGTACAAAATAATGAAAGCGATATTGCTTAAAGAACAATTCTTGTTAGGGTTAGGCCAATGGTTAGGCATTAAAGCAAACTTTTCCTTCGGCTAAATTCACTTCTATGCAGATTGAGTTTAATGCATTTTCCGGGTGCATTTTGAGTTTTTCCTCACACGTTTTTTGTATCTTTTATGCGTTTTGTGCTTTGTGTGACTTTAGCTGGTTGTCAAGGAGTGGGCGGCCGCTGGCGTCCTTAACAACCAGTAAACACCATTGTCATTAAGGAGCGGGCGCTGCTGAGTCCTTAACAACCCATGAGTCATCAGCTGTCAGCGGGGATCCCCACTGACAGCTGAATATAAAGAAACCTATTGCCAGAAATAGGTGTTTATGTCAAGTAAATAGATACCAAACATGTCGCACTTTAAAATTGTGCATGCCTGTGGAATGGTGCCAAACTACAGTATTTCAAAATCTCCATAAGTGAAACTTTAAAATCATTTTCTGGTTACCAGTTTAGAGTTACAGAAGAGATCTGGTGCTAAAATTACTACTCTCACTGATTCTCATGGCAATACCTCACATGTGTGGTGCGATCCCCTTTTACATATGCATGCGGGACCAACACATGCATTAGTCTTTGCACAAGAGAACGGGGCGCTTTAACTGTAATTAATTTTTCTTTTTTTAAACACTGTTTCTTTAACTGAGGGCGCTGACCGCTGTGTTCTGGCAGGGGGGCTGTCCCCCCTGGCAGATCACAATAGCACAGCAGGGGAGACTGCTGTACTAACATCTGTTAATACAGCTCCTCCTGAGCTGTCAGGTTTTTTTTTTCTTTTTCCATTCAGCCCACTGGGTTGAACAGTGTGTACGAGGCTTAAGCTGGCCTGGGCTTCTAGGCATCAATGATTATTTAATTTATTTCAGGTACTTAAATAGCGCTGTCAATTTGCGCAGTGCTTTACATATATATTGTACATTCACATCAGTCCCTAACCCTCAAGGGGCGTACAATCTAAGGTCCCTAACTCATATTCATACATACACATATTAGGGACAATTTAGACAGGATCCAATTCACCTACCAGCATGTCTTTGGAGTGTGGGAGGAAACGGGAGTAGCCCGGAGGAAATCCACGCAGGCACAGGGAGAACATGCAAACTCCAGGCGTCAGGTGCCGTGGCTGAGATTCGAACCAACGACCCTAGTACTGTCAGGCGGAAGTGCTAACCATTTAGCCACTGTGCGCCAACATATGTATTTATCAACATGCCTATATGGAGTCAGGTCTTTACAGCCTGCAAATGCCCTACCATTTATAAATACTGACAGCATGCAGCAAAATGTCTGCAAGAGAGAACCAAAGAGCTGGACCTTGCTTTGTGCCAGAGCCACAATTATGCAAATGTATATGGATTGTGAATCAATGGGTTGTACAGCACAATAGCTATACATTAAGTGACTTGCAACTTTATCTGAGCTTTGCTTTAGCTTTCCTCCTAATAATCTGCTTATACCACCAGATGGTTAAGAAGTGCATTTAACCTAACAACCATAATAGAAATAATCTTGGCTTTTTACCTTACCTAGATTAGGGACCCCCATACATATAAGATTAACAGGTACTAAAGATAATGAAAGCAAAATTCGGCCAAGCAGGATCAGTAAAAAAAATAGTCACAAGATTCAGATAATATATTAAACATGATACAAGCATTCCTGTATGTAAGAGAAAAGCATGCATTATGGCATCACAATGTAGAACATTTCAACCTTCTTAGATCTGAACCAAGAGAAAGAAAGCCAAGTTCTCAAGCAAGCATTTATCGGTAGCTATGTGAAAGCTGCACTGTAAATAAAACAGGGTGCTATAGAAGAAGTAAACACAATATGATACCAAACTAAAAAAACTGCTCTAACATGACTCGGAAAATCAGTAACAGGGCTGAAGAACAAAAAAATTTGCATACTTTTAATTGGCAGAGCTTTCTATATCCATAGATAGAATGTATTAATTCTCGCTCAGCTTCTAAAGCTAGAAGTATGAATAAACATTCTATCTCAGTAATACACTAACATGAACCAGAGACCAGGAGCAATTTTTATGGCCCGTGCCTACCCCAATCATTGACAGCTATGCGAAGAAGTGGGCGAGGCCATTTTTTTAAAACCTTTACAGGCATAGGAACGCCACATACAAGAGAGATTTTTTTCTTAAAGTATAAGTAAACCCTTACCTTGTAAAACAACCCATTCAGTTTAGACTAAAAATGAGGGCAAAACATTTGTGTATATACACTGACTGGCCACTTTACTAGGTACAACTTGCTAGTACTGATTGGACCCCCTTTTGCCTTCAGATCTGCCTTAATGCTTCGTGACAAGGATTCAACAAGGTGTTGGAAACATTCCTGAGTTCAGTCTATATTGACATGATAGCATCACACAGCTGCTGCAGATTTGTCGGCTGCACATCCATTATCGATCTCCTGTTCCACCAGATCCAAAAGGTGCTCTATTGGATTGAGATCTGGTGACTGTGGAGACCACTGGAGTCAGGTTTAAGAAACCAGTTTGAGATGATTTGATCTTTGTGACATGGTGCAATATCCTGCTGGAAGTAGCCATCAGAAGATGGGTACACTGTAGTCATAAAGGGATGGACATGGTCAGCAACAATACTCAGGTAGGCTCTGGTGTTTAAATGATGCTCTATCAGTACTAAGGGTGACAAAGTGTGCCAAGAAGATATCCCCCACGCCGCCACCCAACCTGAACTGTTGATACAAGGCAGGATGGATCCATGCTTTCATGTTATTTATGCCATATTCTGACCCTACCATCTGAATGACACAGCTGAAATCAAGACTTATCAGACCAGGCAACGTTTTCCAATCTTCTATTGTCCAATTTTAGTGAGCTGTGCGAATTGTAGAATCCATTTCGGGTGCTTAGCGGACAGGAGTGGCACCCGGCGTGGTCTTCTGCTGCTGTAGCCCATCTGCTTCAAGGTTGGACATGTGTGTTTAGAGATGGTATTCTGCATGCCTTGGTTGTAACAAGTGGTTATTTGAGTTACTGTTGCCTTTCGATCATTTCAAACCAGCCTGCCCATTCTTTTCTGACCTCTGACATCAACAAGGCATTTTCGTCCAAACAACTGCCGCTCACTGGATATTTTCTCGCTTTCGGACCATTCTCTGTAAACCCTAGAGATGGTTGTATGTGAAAATCCCAGTAGATCAGCAGATTTTTTAAATATTCAGACCAGCTTGTCTGGCACCAACAACCATGCCATGTTCAAAGACACCTAAATCCCCTTTTTGAACTTCAGCAAGTCTCGTCTTCACCATGTCTAAATGCAATGAGTTGCTGCCATGTGATTGGTTATTTAGTAATTTGTATCACCAAGCAATTGAACAGGCGTACCTAATAAAGTGGCCAGTGAGTGTATATAAAAAACATTATAAATACTTTAAATAAACAAATATATAGTGTAAATACTAAGCTCCCTATGTAGTGGAGAACAGAGAGGTGGAGGAAGAGAAATAGCAGCACACTGTAATTTCCAGAAAATGGCTGTGCAGGGCGATGAGGGGGCATCAGCAGAAGTATGATCATTGGAGGAGAGCACACTGAGTTCCCAGCATGGCTAGAGAATGGATCACGCTGTGCTCTCATGTCTAATGTAGTCACTTTTTAACAGAGGGACTGGAAGGCACTGGAATTCAAAAAAGGGAAATTACACACAAAAAAGGACAGCAGGCACATATCAGGAATACAAAATGTTGTTTACATACTTTTAAAATCCAACCAAGGTTAAAGCGGAACTTCACTCTCGCAATCAAGATTTTTAATTTCTATATTTCTGGCATTACTAAATGATAGGAAAGTATATTATATTTGTTTTAAACTTTTTTTTTTTTTTAATTTTTTCAGCTACTTCCTGATTCCATGCCTAGGCAAATGATGTCCAGATGGCCCTGGCCAGAAATGCATTTTTCAAAGTGATTACTCAGCAAAATAAAGCATGGACGGATAGATGGGAGTTCGCTTTGAAAATAAAAATCAATTAAACAGCGTTTTTGGTTTGTGATGCTCAGATACAATGTAGTTCTGCTTTAATTTATGTTGCCTCCTTTAGACTGATATAGTGGTTGGTGGAGTTTTATTTTAAGATATTATAAAATTACTATTTAGTAGAGTATTCTGAAATTCAACACTGGGTTTTTCTTAGTAGCATAATGAATTTGCCCCTTCCGACTAGGTATTGAGGGCGCAAGCTCAAAGGCTGTCATCTTTAGGGCCTGTGTTGAAAAGCTTTCGGCTTCTGAAGTTGATTGTCTCAAACTGATACTATTCTAAGATCATTCAGAATTGGCAAGTGCATATGACCTCCTTTTGACCTGCATTTATCATGCTTCATGTGGGTTTTGCATCCTATAGATCTTTAAAGGCAAAGCAAAACCCACAAGCAGTAAACAAAAGCTATGTCTATGCAGGCCGTTACGCTACTTTGTGCATCAATAATGTGGATTAGGTAGACACTTCCAAAACAATTCAGCAATGGCGGATACAAAGATGCCTCTCATAGATCATTGCATTCATTGTAATACTTGTCTTGGCCATTTAAGCAACATTTTTAAATATTTATTTCCACATTGTAATTCAAATATTTCTAGCCTACTACTAATCTGAATGATCTTGAAGTTTGTTAATTTACTGCAGTGTTTCTCAACTCCAGTCCTCATGGACCCCCAACAGGTCATGTTTTCAGGATTTCCATTATTTTGCACAGGTGATTTGATCAGTTTCACTGCCTTAGTAATTACCACAGCTGTTTCATCTGAGGGAAATCCTGAAAACATGACCTGTTGGGGGTCCATGAGGACTGGAGTTGAGAAACACTGATTTACTGTGTAAAGATCCCCACACATTTACTTCCTTGTATTCTCTGGTATGTATTTACTATGCCTTGTGAGCATTGTCAACAACTATTATTAACTACTGTTTGCACTGCCATTATAATGCCGATGTTATAAACTGAAAGTGTATGAAGTGACAATAGATCACCTTTAATTTTCTGTGCATCAGTTTTGATTTTACCTGAAGATATATCTCAAAAGCTTGTGCAGAAAGCATATTGTTACTGAAAATTAGAAAATGTACAGTACTTAAATCTAAGTTTATAGATTTTCCCTAACTTCCTGGAAGTTAGGTAAAACCTCAACAGAGTGGAGAAAGGTTGGGGTCTTCTTTTCTTATACAGGCATCACAATAACAGAAAAAAAAACATTGCCCTATTGGGACACATACAGAAACAAAATGACAACATTTGAACTCCAAAACAAATGCTCAAGAAGGCTTGCTGGGAAATCAGACATGCTTGCCGATTGCTTTCACATACAAGCTGGCTGCTAGTTATACATCAAATATTAGCAGATTCTAGGTAAGGGAAAAATAGAATAATAGAATAATTATGGCTTTAATAAACTACCAGACTTTTGTTACATAAATTTTGACAGAACAGAAAACGGCATCAATTACTAAACTTTATAGAAGAATGTTTTAACTAAAAAATGGCAAATCCTTTCAATTACAGACCTTTTCTCGAGCTTGGCAATGAAAGCAGAACACAATTTCCTATGATGCACAAAATTAAAAACACCATAAGCTGCTTACTTGTTCTACAGTAAGGATAAGCATTCCATGCCTTTTCGTGAAACACCAGGGATCCTTCTGGAGCAAACATCTTTACAAAACCAGGGACTTTACTGAAAAAGGAGAACCAGACATTACATAGAGCCAGAAATGTATTTCTGATATTATAGTAAAATAAAGCTTCCTACAAGGTACCAAACATCCCCACAGTGTCCAATCATATACAAGACAATAAAAAAAAAATCCTAAACAATTACTATGTGTAAGTTCTCCGAAGTAAAATTTTCTTCACTTTTGAAAAATAAACCTAAAGTCTATTAATCTACATTACAATATCTTTTTGCAAAGATTCAATTGCATTTTGGGGTTCTGTTGTTTCCAATCATTTGTCTTTCCAATCATTTGCACCTTGAACAGTGGACCACATTTTAAAGGATAAGTTCACCTTTTAACAAAAAAGTTGCAGGTTACAAAAAAAAAAAAAATGTGCATTTATTATTTGTTTGTTTCTGGAGCTGTAAAGCATCACACCAGCAATCAGATCGCTGGTGCCATGCAGGTCTCCTGCAGACCTGTCATTGTATCTGTGTGCCCATACACCTCATCCGGGTAAGCAGATACTACTGACAGGAAGAATCAATGAAGTGCACCACTACCACAGTGCGTGGTAGTTCATTGAGCACTACAAGATGACAGCCGCAAAGGCTGTCGGAACTTGTAGTGTTCTCATTCACCTGATACTGTGAAAGAGTAACGTGGCCGGGGGAGGAGGAGAAGATCCCCCGCTTGCTGGCACAACAGGAATCAGGGAGGAAAAAGCAGGGGCCGGTCCATTCGTAACATGTTACACCCTGAATATGTGTGTAACATGTTAGGAAAAGGTGAACTTATCCACTCGAGACACATTTTAATCATAGCACTTTCTAACAACCACCAACATATAATGGTTTGCTATCAGTTTGGAAAATAACTGTGGTTAGTTTCTATACCCATTAGCAGCTAGCAAACACATTGGTAGCTTAAATACAACTGGCATTTGTCAAAATGTTTAAAAAGGACATGCTGTACATGATCAGTGTAAAGTTACATGCATTTGGTAAGGATTTTGCAATGTAAAACAAAGAAACAACCTCCCAGATGGCTAAAACTATGGTGAGTTCACCAGGTACCCTGGCTAAAACAATGGTGCAATGCCAGGATCCCACAGACTCTCAGTATAGCTGTCTGCCCATACCTTCTATATGGGCAGATAGTTACTGAAAAGCAGTAGATTCAATGAACTACAAGAGCAGTCAGTGCCCTCACGGTTCATTAAGAACTACAAGCTGTCTACTGCAATAGAAGACGGTAGTTGTAGTTCATTTATTCACAGAAGTCTGTGAATAAATGATGTGGCCGAGTGGCAGACCCAAACGGTTTTTCAAACTGTGACAGTGGGTGCGGAGAGAAGGGGGATTGAGGAGAGAGGAGCATGCTGAACATGTCGCACCATAAATACGTGTGTAACATGTTCAGAAAGGTGAGCTTAGCCTTTACATTTTGCTCATCTCTGGTGGTGTTAGTGCAGAGGAGCCCCTTCCATCCCCATAAACCCTTTGAATCCTAGGATCTAAATTCTCACCTTTTCAAGTGGTAGATTTTGTGTGTATATTGACCTTTTTCTCCTCCTTTTTCATATGGTTCATTCTTCAAGACCTCAATACCTTCACCACCACCAGTTTCATTTTTGCTAGCTTCAGCCACAGAATAAAGCTGGCCAACTTGATACTAAGAAAATAAACATTGAAAAAGGGCACATTAATGTGAAGAACATTAAATAGCACTAAGAGACAAGAAAACAAGAAAAGAAAGATGTAAGAGGAGAGAGCAAGGATGGGGGGGACGGAGACGGGAGAGGAGCGAGCAAGGGGGGGGGGGGGAGGAGGAGAGCGGAGGGAGAAGGGGAGGGGGGAGAGGAGGGGAGGGAGGGAGAGGAGAGAGAGGAGGGAGAGGAGGAGAGAGGGGGGAGGGAGAGGAGAGAGGGGGAGGGAGAGGAGAGAGGGGGAGGGAGAGGGAGAGGGGGGGGTAGGGGAGGGGGGGGGGGGGGTAGGGAGAGGGAGGGGGGGGAGGGAGAGGGAGGGAGAGAGGGAGAGGAGGGGAGGGGGATAGAGAGAGAGAGAGAGGATGAGAGAGAGAGAGAGAGAGAGGGGGGGGGAGAGGAGAGAGATGAGAGGGAGAGGAGAGAGAGGGAGAGGAGAGAGAGGGAGAGGAGAGAGAGAGGGAGAGGAGAGAGAGGGAGAGGAGAGGGAGGGAGGGAGGGAGGGAGAGAGAGAGAGAGGGAGGGAGAGAGAGAGAGGAGGGAGGGAGAGGAGGGAGGGAGGGAGGGAGAGAGGAGGGGAGAGAGGGAGGGAGGGAGGGAGGGAGGGAGGGAGGGAGGGAGGGAGGAGAGAGAGGGAGGGAGGGAGGGGAGAGGGAGAGGGGGGGGGGGAGAGGAGAGAGGGAGAGAGGAGAGAGAGAGAGAGAGAGAGAGAGAGAGAGAGAGAGAGAGAGAGAGAGGGGGGGGGGGGGAGAGGAGAGAGAGAGGAGAGGAGAGGGAGAGGAGAGAGAGAGGGGGGGGGAGGAGAGAGAGAGAGGGAGGGGGAGGAAGGAGGAGGAGAGAGAGAGAGAGGGAAGAGGAGAGAGAGAGAGAGAGGGAGAGGGAGAGGAGGAGAGAGAGAGGGAGAGGGAGAGAGCGAGAGGGAGGAGGGAGAGAGGGAGAGGGAGGGGAGGGAGAGGAGAGAGGGAGAGGAGAGAGAGAGAGGGAGGGGAGAGAGAGAGAGGGAGGGAGAGGAGAGAGAGAGAGGGAGGGAGAGGAGGAGAGGGAGAGGAGAGAGGGAGAGGAGAGAGAGGGGGGGGAGAGGGGGGGAGAGGGGGGGGGGGGAAGGAGAGAGAGGGGGGGGGAGAGAGAGGGGGGGGGAGAGGAGGGGGGGAGAGGAGGGGGGGGGGGGGGCGAGAGAGAGGGGGGGCGAGAGAGGGGGGGGGCGAGAGAGGGGGGAGAGGAGAGAGGAGAGAGGGGGGGAGCGAGATTGAGAGAGGGGGGGAGAAGAGCGAGAGGGGGGGGAGGCGAGAGGGGGGAGAGCGAGAGAGGGGGGGGGCGAGAGCGAGAGAGAGAGGGGGGGGGGAGAGCGAGAGAGGGGGGGTGGGAGAGCGAGGGGGGGGCGGGAGTGAGGAGGGGGGGGAGAGCGCGAGAGGGGGGGGGAGATAGAGTGGGGGGGCGAGGGGGGGGGGAGGCGGAGAGAGAGAGAGGCGGAGAGAGAGAGAGGCGAGAGAGAGAGAGAGGCGGAGAGAGAGAGAGAGTCCTATGTGCCAAAAACTATGGGAGTTTTCATAGCTGCAGGATCTCAACAGTTAGAATATGAAAAACAAGAAAAACACAAAATAACAAAATGTAGACTAGAACTAGAAAAAAATAGGAGGAGACATGGAAAGATAATTTACCTCTTCCACGGAGCATGGCAAAACTACTCGACTGAAAAAAAAAAGTAAGAAAAAAAAAGATGGTATCAGAAGCGGGACTTTTAAAATATGTGTCAACAAAAGGAACAACTCTAAAAGTGAACGGCCTTGGTTTTATTTTTTGGGGGGAAAAGGGGACATGTAGCAGTCGTACATTAGCTTCCATCATGATATACATAATCTGATGAAATTTTGGTAAATGTTTTTGTACTATTAGGCTCCATTCACACCAGATGCGTGGGACTGAGCTGGGCTGTTTTTCCAGCACAGTCCCACCGCATGACAAGGCAAAATGCTTCATCTCCTGTGTGCCTGATTCATATCACTGTTTTGCAGTGGTGTGTGGGCACAGTGCGCACTGCCTCACACTGTGTGACGGCCAATTGAAGTTTATGAAATTCCTGTGTGACATTTTAATAAAGTTTTTTTTTTTTTTTTATAAAAAAAGAACAGTGCGGTGCACCCAGCTGCATTATAAAGTGCTGGCTGATGTGAAAAGACCTTTTGTGTGACAAGGAAACAGACACACCCCTGCTATTTACCTTATAGATTTCTGTGTCATCTGTCTGTTAACTCAACTATGACCAAGTTTCATCACTCCTGAGATAGACTATGTACCTTCTTTCTTTTATATCCATACCATGGTCCTTCAGAAAGATAGACTACCATTGATGACCTTCTGATAATGCTGGATGTCTGGCTGTCAAGCTGATCCACTGGCTCCAATGCTTTGGAGAGCTTTGGCTTTAAAGATCAGGAATTTCTACATCACTGTTTACATACTTGTTCTGGGTCAATGACTCATTACCGACGCTGCAGAGGTCAGCAGTGGCAGCTCAACTATTTCCCTAATCACAGGTGTCCATGAAACACATGCTAGAGGCCTATTGGTGTACTATGATCACACTGCACAAACTCCCAGTGTTAAAACCTTTCTTAAATTCAGGATAATAAAAAAGTGACATTAAATTCTGGTTTAACCACTTGCCTACTGGGAACTTATACCCCCTTCCTGCCCAGGCCAATTTTCAGCTTTCAGCGTTGTCGCACTTTGAATAACAATTGTGCAGTCATGCAACACTGTACCCATATGACATTTTTATCTTTTTTTTTTTTTTTTCTCCACATAGAGCTTTCTTTTGGTGGTGTTTATTTTTTGCGCTACAAACAAACAAAAAATTAAAAAAAAATAAATAAAAAGATTTTCTTTGTTTCTATTATAAAATTTTGCAAACAGGTAATTTTTCTCTTTCACTACTGTGCCAAACAATATTATTAGTGCAGCGCTTTTACCATAAAAAATATAATAAAAATGTAATGTGAATATTAATACCTTAATCAGTGATAATACTAGAAAAAACAAAAAACGAAACAATTTAGTTGATTTTCTCTTTCACTGATGTGCATTGATGAGGCGGCACTGACTGGTGGCACTGCCGGGCACAGGTGGGTGGCACTGATCATCAGGCCACTTATCAATGCCCTGGTGATCAGTGGCGATCTGTTTTCTGACAATTGCCGGTTATCGGCAGTACTTTCCTCACACTCTGACAACTTTGAGGAAAGTGCAGCCGACAAGCGGCAACTGCATTTACCCCGGTGATCTGCTGTGTCATTGGACACAGCTGATCACATGCTAAAAGGCCACTGGACAAACCGAGCTGTAGCTGTCATTCGGCTATAGCCTGGTTGTCAAGTGCTTAAAAAAATACATTTTATGCTTAACTAAAAAAAATGTACCTTCTGTTGCTCACATCCTCCTCCAAATGTATTATTTTTCCCCATTGAGATCTGATGTGTTTTCAAATTGTTCCTTTAATTTTTTTTTTGAGCAGCGTAGATTACAGAGGCATTAATCAGTGAATGTGTATGAATTCTTTTTGGAGAATAACAATATTGTTTAGTGTCACTTTAAGGTAAGATAACATAAAATAGTTTTCATACAGTTGATATACTATCTAAACCTAAGAACAAAAAATATAAAAGGTGGTAAGCTGTATCTCCGCCCAAAAAATGCAGTTTCCTTGTAACTTCAAGCAGTAAATGACCAATTCCATCACCCATGTAATGAAGAGAAAGACACATTTGTAGTCAGGAATACAGCCTTGCGACAACCTCCCTTCATATCTAGACTAGAATAAGTGAGTGTAGCCACCTGGTGACAGGAAGCGTGTTAACTGCAGAATTACCAAGTAAGGAAAAAAAGGAAAGAAATCTTGAAAGTTAAAACCAAATGAACCCTGGTAAGCTGTAATAAACTTTTTTGGTTTTGGGTTCAGATACACTATAAAACAGAAGCATGTAGAAATACTTAAAGTGACTATTTACAAAAATTAAACTGGTTGTAAACTCTTACATATACCCAGTGAAGTGACTAGCCTCAGGTGATACACAGAGATGAAACAAATTCTCCTGCACAAGTCATACCTGTTTATCTACAATCTTCTCTACAGCTGTTCAAAGTGCATAATTTGTACAGCTTGTCTGAGTTTTCAGAAAGCAAGGTGCAGGAAGCCGAAGTTACACTCTATACAGCTCAGTGATAATTGATTGGAGAGAAGGGGCACACTCCCTTTCACACAGCACACAGGAACAGAGCTGAGGCTATCAATCAAAGGCTGTGTGCTGGAGATCCCTCCCATATTTTTTACCTCTTGGTGTCAGGAAGACTTGTCAGAAGTGACTCATGCAGTTAGTGGAGGAACAAGGCAGCAGACAGAAATGACACTTGTTCTCTAGACTGAAACAAATACACTTTAGGAGGGATATGCTTTGTTCATATTTCAACCACTTTTAAAAAAATGCCCAAGGTTGGAAGCAGTAAACAAAAACTGCTTGCTCTTACATTCCGAATGCTCTCCATTTGTCCAAGCTGCAACGTAACCACCTCCTGTTGAACTCCAGACATTATAAAGGAACAGTAGTGATGTGAAGGTCGGCAGGAAACCACTGAACACTACAGAAGGACACTGGGGATCCACAAGCTCAGAAGTACCCACACACACACATGAAGGTTTCTTGTGAACAAAGTCGTGTTCTGACAGCATGGGTTGTAGGAAGGCTTTAGTCTTTTGTGGAGATTCTAGATTTAATAACAGGGTCACTTCAGCATGATGCTTTATGAGATTTTACCCATTGGGTTTTTGGTTGGGTTTGCTTACTGATCTTTATGATTTAACTTGTCCCCTTCTCTACTCGTACTGTAGAAAACAGCCTCTCTTAGCTATTCCATGCCTGAGCAGGTCTGAACCAGACAGAAAAATTCAACAATGTAAAACATAATTCTCCTTGTCACCTCTAAGCTATTACAGTCAGCATAAAGTCTTGTAGTGAGAGGGGGCACAGACAACGTACCTGGGCTGTCACACATAGCAATAGTTGCTTCCTAATATAAGGAATGATAGTAAAAGTGTTAATTGGGTATCAGCCAAAACAAGAGCCTTATTCCTTGAGAGTCCATTATGGCTCCCGCTGCTGTCTCTGGAGGCAAGGCTCTCGTGCACATCACTGGATCACGATGGGGCCTCAGGTAAGTATTGAGGGGGGCTGGGGAGACTGCTGCACTCAGAAGGTTTTTTACTTTCATGCATAAAAAACATGAGCCTTTACAACCACTTAAAAAAAAAAAAAAAAAAAAAAAAAAAAAAAAAGACAGAGGGAGAATAAAATGCAATGTAAAGCTTACCATACATTACACCAGCCCTGTGGACTGAACAAAAAAAAAAATTTAACAGATTCCCTCAACCACACATTCAAGGTGGATGGAGGAATCCTCCCCGCTGTCACTGTATTCTGACAGCGGAGACTCTGCTGCTGGCAGAACACATTGATCAGCACTGTAGCTGATTGGCTGCACATGTTGATCGAAGCAACATTTTCCAACACTCCCGTTCATAAGAAGTTGATCGTTAGATTAACTTCTCATGCATGTGAATGGCTATATATGGATCAAAATTCAGCCAGCCCCTGCTCAACCAGACTAATTTCAATCCATCTATGATTAGTTCTACCCACTAAGATCTATAAGATATTGCCTATCACTGCGGATATAGTGCAAAATAATGAAAGCGGTTGCTGTGGGAACACATAACTACTATTTTATGTAATATCCTCGGGAGCAAGGAATCCAGAAGTGTTTAGTTGTCCATAACATCAGGAATCCAAACTTTTTTTTTTTTTTTTTTACCAGTGACAGACAAAACCTGAATATTGGCAACAGGTAAGGGCTTCACATTTCCCAGGATTCCAAGCTCCTATGTTTATAAATCTGATCAGAATCCTAATAAAAAGTCTCATCTTGGAACATATGCCATCTATGACAACTAATATTTCCTTGTGCTCTCCCGAAGTAGATATTCCCAACTTCAAAAACGGATTTTTACCATAGTTGCTCAAGTCTTCTTGCCAGCAAGTAGGATACAAGCTAGTGCATTCTATCACCTTGTTCTTATGTACACCATACACCCACTGCGGAAATTATTATTAGACACCCCATAGAACGCTGGAATATTACTTTTAGAAGCAAAATATTTAAGGATAAGGTCACCTTTATAAAAAGTAATAAATCCACATTTTTTTGCAGGTAAATAAATGTGCAGTTTCAATTTTTCTTCTTTAGGAGCCTGTGAAGCATTGCACCAGATCACGAGTGGAAGGTCAGGCTCCTGCAGACTGTCAGTGTAGCGGTCTGCTCTTACGTCCCGATATGGGCAGACACTTCAGTCCAGGAAGCTCAATGGACTACTAGAACGGGCACCAGCACCCTTGCAGCTCATTGAGAACTACAAGCCACAAGAGATGATGGTACTTGTAGGCATTCATTCATAACTAATAACAATAGTGCAGCGCTTGAATGAAAACAAGAAATAAAACTGATAAAAAGTCTGATATTAAAAGTCTGTTTTCATAAAAAAACGTGCCAGGTGACTGGTACTAATCAATGGTGGTGATCCGTGAAGAATGGAAGGGGTTGCCTGTTTACAGGGGGTCATCCTCCTCTTGGTATAGTGCCTG